GCAGGAAGGGAAAGGCTTCACTTTAAAATGCCCACCGTGGATCCGGGCATCCATGACGATGTCTCAGATGCAGCTGACGGGAGTTCTGGCTTCATCTCTCCTCCCGTCTCACGTGCAAGGCACGGGCAGGACTGTCTGACATGCCCAAGCTGCAGTCTGATGAGGGCCCATTGTCCCTGCACGCCACCGCTCTCACCCCGGAAACAACTTGCAGCAGCAAAGCCAGATGTAGATTCTGTGCATTGCCCCAAACATCACTCCAGTGAGTCGGTTAATTAAAACACCAAAACACGAGGAGCAGAGAAGAGCGGCTCATCCGTCCGGCCTCGTTGCTGAGTCAGTGGCCAAGACATCTGCCGTGAACATCTGTGAATAAACTGCAACAAATGTACAGGCGGCATCTTTGTCCTGCGGTCTTCCCCACGAGGGGCATTTTGCCAGCCCAGGGAGACGTTCTATGGCAGGACCCAAGCTGCGACTCTCAGATTTCGGATTATCTTCATCCCGTTGACCTGTTTTCACGTTACCATGGTGCCACCTGCGTGCAACAGCTCCACAAGGCTGGGAGATGGGGCCCCCAGATGATCCCATCTCCCGCAGAACCCATGGCAGTGCCATGCCTGTATTCATTGGTATCTCTGCCCACAAACCCTTTCTAGGTTCAAATGGTCACCATCTTGTTGTGGGTTGCATTGTGCAACCCCCGCCAATCATATTTTGGAGTCCTAACCCCCAAAACCTCAGAATGTGACCTTATTTGGAGGTAGAGCTTTTACAAAGGCGACCAAGTTGAAATAAGGTCATTACTGTAGGTCCTGATCTGATATGACTGGTGTCCTTATAAGAAGGGGAAAACTGGACCCAGACACATACACAGAGAGAATGCCATGTGCAGATAAAGGCAAAGATGGAGGTGATGCTTGCACAGGCCAACCAACGCCAAAGATGACCAACAACCGCCAGAAGCTATGGGAGAGGCCTGAGACAGGTCCTCCTTCACACCCTCAGGACCAGCCAACCCTGCCAACACCTTGATCTCGGACTTCCGGCCTCCAGAACTAGGAGACAATACACTTCTGTTGTTTAACCTCCCCCCGCCCCCCGCAGTCTGTGGTACTTTGTTATGGCAACTTTAGCAAACTAAATCACATCTGTATTTTAATCTCCACTCGAGGAAAGACCTGCATTTATGCAGCATCTGGGTGGTCCCAGCAAAGAATCAGTTTGAGGAGCTCATAGCCCCAGCAGACAGCTGTCACCAGGAAAAAGTGTATCCAGGAAAGGGCGTGGCATAAAGTACATTCCAGGGCAGAGGTTCGCACGGATGTCCTGGGCGGGCTGCGAGAGGCCCCGCTACCTGGGCCACCTCCAAGGAGTACCTGCCTGGCCTGCCCCTCCACTTGATCCCAACCCTGTAACCAAGGGTAACATTGGTGCTTTTGAGTGTGCAAATGCAGGCTTGGGAGGAATCCACACATCTTTAAGGCCCTGAGCCCTTACCCCAGGCCCTAATCCTGCTTCTCAGGACCGTGCACACATTCTGCAATGTCCTAACCCCACAGCTATCCTGCTACCCAGACTTGGCGCGGGGGGGGG